TGTGTGTGTATGTGTGTGTGTGTGTGTGTGCACAGACACATAGTAACAGCAGCTGCGCATGTTACTAGGTATCTGTGGTTGTGTCTGTGTCGTACTGTGGGTATGTGTGTGTATTTGTTTGTGTGTGTGTTGTTGTGGTTTGTATGTGTGTGTGTGTGTGTGTGTGCACAGACACATAGTAACAGCAGCTGGGATGTTACTAGGTATTTGTGGTTGTGTCTATGTCAAATCTGTGTGTGTGTTTGCGCACGCTCGTGTGTGTATGTATGTATTTTTATGCAATAAAACCCTGATAAAACAAATTTTAGGTGACACGAGAATTTGATTATGTTGTGGCAGTTATGCAGTTTTTGAGTTAAGCAGACTTAATGAAAAGAACAAAAAGGGGAGATTACTCCGTTCATACAGTTTTTTTGGCTTGTATAACGAAAGATGAGATGCCAGGCCATGTATAATGTTTTAAGTCTTATTAGCTCATAGAAAAATCAAACAATAGTCAAAAGCTTTTGAGTATTGCTTATATTTTCTATGAGCTAACAAGGGCCATGGGTGGTTGGAGGGTGCTGCTGATTGGTCTTTCGTTTTTTCTATCCCTTTGTTATTTCTGTCGGTCTACTGTTTTACTTTTCCCCTTCACATAACTGTTGTTGTGTGAATGTGCTCCACTCCGCTTCAAACAAACAGCCACACGCTCTTATAACCTTATGCAGTTGTTGTGAGCACCGTTAAACCCTTACCGTTGTGAGCACCGTTAAACCCTTACCAAACTGACGAAATCGAACAGGCTGAAACCAAAAAAGAAAGGCTGATAAGGACGCAAGTAATATGTTTGCACGGCGATTATGAAAATCATTTTTAATCAGAGGATGAAGAAGAAATCGTATTTCTGTTTGTTATAAGTGCATGCTCTGTCTCAAGAGTGTTCAATTTTTGTTCTGCAACCTTTCATCAGTGCATGTTAGATCATCAGTGTGTTGCCATTGAGCATCTTGCCTCTCTCTGCTCTTGCATTGTTTCTGAGATGTCTGGGTAAAGAAACTGCTACAAGTACGACGTTCCCATGAGCAGGATCAGATTGGGTCGGGTCAGGTCAATAATTAATATTAAATAATAAATAAAATAATAGATAATGGCGGCTTTAGAGCACACTATGAACAGACCCCTCCCATGTTGAATCAAATTTGAACCATAAGTGAAAACAGAAAACTTTGACCTTTGGTGACCATGCAGAGCTAGGTCATATCTCTCACAACTTTCTGTTCAGGGCACTCAATAGTTGCTTCAAGTGCTGACTGCTGCTTATGGCAGTTGTTGTGATAAGAGGTTCTTGAATCCCGCAGACATGGGAATACCCCCTTGGGCGGTGCCACTGACTGTAGTGTCTTTAGGCCATTCCCAAAGGGGGGACATCCAAAGGGGGGACATTTCTCGTTCAAGCACAGTAGAATTGTAAATGGGCTGATTCATCATGTCATGCTCATAACTGTGCCTGATCTGCAACAGGGAACTGCTGCTTTTTCTTTCCTAATCCTTACTATTGTCATTTTCCTCTACTTCTTTTGTATGTTTGTCACTCTCTTGTGACCTGCTATTTCCGGGGTGCCTTGATAGTCGAAGCAGACTTTGTTCTGTTGAAGCTAGAGAGCAGGTGAGCAGAGTAAGTCTGATTTCCTGTAAGGACTTCTCTGTTGACACCCACCCCTTGGTGCTCATATGACCTTATGCAGTTGCGAGTGCCTTAGAACCCTTTACTAAAATAAAATAAAAAATAAAAAAAGACATGGGAAATCCTGATGGGTTTACATCAGCCACTCCAAATCGACACCATCTATTACTGCACTCTGCGTGCATGAACACTGACCTTGTGACTTGTAGGCTGCTCTCATGTGACGACAAGGAACAATTTGATTCGCAACCTGGAAAAATGATCAAGACTGATTTTGAAGTGTGGTTTGCTCCTTCTTTACTATCAAATATCTATCATCCTTATCTGCCCTCCTTTTTTGTGTTTGTTACTCTCTTGTAACACCTCTAATCTTCAGCACCTATATAAAATATAACCGAATTATGTTGCAAGTGCCATATAACGCTTACTAAAACAAAGAAAGATTGGGCTGTGACTGTTCTCTTTTTTTTTCCCCTAAGGAACGAGTTCCAGATGGTCAAGTCTGGATTCTGCACTAGCCAGTGAAAAGACAGAACATGAAGGTAAGCAAAACACAGAAGATGTACCCCTGGGGCGGTGCCACTGACTGAAGTGTCTTTAGACCATTCCCAAAGGGGGGACATTTCTCATTCTAATGCACAGTAGAAATGTAAATGGGCTGATCCAACAATGTCATGCTCATAATTGTGCCTGAACTACAACAGGGAACTGCTGCTTTTTCTTTCCTAATCCTTGCTATCGTCATTTTCCTCTACTTCTTTTGTATGTTTGTCACACTCTTGTGACCCGCTATTTCTGGGGTGCCTTGATAGTCGAAGCAGACTTTGTGCTGTTGAAGCTAGAGAGGTGAGCACAGTAAGTCCGATTCCCTGTTTGGATTTCTCTGTTGACATCCACCCGTTTGCGCTCAAATGACCTTATGCAGTTGCGAGCGCCGAAAAACCTCTACAAATAAACAAATAACAAACAAAAAACAGAAGATGTCAGTTACAACTTCTGTCTCTTTCTGTACCACCTCTGTCTGTTTCTGTATAATTCCTGTCTCTTTCGGGACGACCTTTGTCTCTTTCAGAATGACTTGTCTTTCATCTCTTTCGGAACGACCTCTGTCTTCTAATTCTGTTACAACTACTGTCTTTTCCTGTACAACTTTTGTCTTCTGTCTCCTTGTGTACAACTTCTGTCTTTCTTTTTTTTTGTCTTCTGTTTCCTTGTGTGTGGGTGGTTGGCGGGTGCTGTGGTGTGGTATGCTTCTTCTTTTCTATCAGACATCTGTCGTCCTTATCTCCCCTTCTTCATTTTTATGTTTGTTACTCTCTTGTAACAGCTCTAATCTTCTGGCGCTCATATGACCTTATGCAGTTGCGAGTGCCGTAAAACCTCTACCTAAACTAAAACTAAAACTGTTTCCTTGTGTACAACTTTTGTCTTCTGTTTCCTTGTGTATTATCTCTTTAAGTACAATTTCTGTCTATAATCTCTTTATGTACAATGTCTTTAATCTCTTTATGTACAATTTCTGTCTTTTATCTCTTTATGTACAATTTCTGTCTTTAATCTTTTTATGTACAATTTCTGTCTTTTATCTCTTTAAGTGCAGTTTATCTCTGTACAATTTCTGTCTTTTATCTCTTTAAGTGCAGTTTATCTCTGTACACTTTCTGTCTTTTATCTCTTTAAGTGCAGTTTATCTCTGTACAATTTCTGTCTTTTGTCTCCGTGTGTACAATTTCTGTCTTTTGTCTCTTTCTGTAATAACTTCTGTCTCTTTCTGCATATCTTCTGTCTTCGGTCTCTGTAGGTACTGCATCTGTCTCTTTCTGTACAACTTCTGTCATTTTCGGTACATCTAGTCTCTTTTTGTACAAATTTTTTTTCTGTACAGCTGCTGTCTCTCTTTGTTCATCTGCAGTCTCTTTTGTTCTACTGCTTGCTCTCTCTCTCTCTCTCTCTCTCTCTCTCTCTCTCTCTCTCTCTCTCTCTCTCTCTCTCTCTCTCTCTCTCTTTCTCTGTTTCTCTCTCTCTCTCTCTCTTTTTCTCCCTCTCTCTGTCTGTTTGTCCGTCACTCTTTCTCTCTCTGTCTCCCTCTCTGTCTGTCTGTCACTCTCTCTCTCTCTCTCTCTCTCTCTGTGTGTCTCTGTCTCTCTCTCTCTCTGTGTGTCTCTGTCTCTCTGCAACTTCTTGTTTTCTTTCCCTTTCTGTGTGTTGTTCTACTTACAAATATTATAATTGCTGTGAAAATTTCTTTTGCTCGTTATAGTGATGTCTGTAGGTTATTTGACTTACAAATGTTCCTGTCGAGGGCAGAAAAGTGAAAGTCCTTTTTTCTCCTCTCTGTGTTTTGTAATACTTAAGAATGTTTCCATTGAAGGTTTAGGTCAAAAGGAATCATCTCTTCATTTATGCCCAAATGTTCCTAATGAAGGCTAGGCTGAAAGTAAACCTTTTCTGCTTTCTGTCCAAATATTCCTGTTGAAGGCTGAGCTGAAACTCGCCTTTTCCTTCTTTCTGCCCACGTATTCCTGTGATGAAAATCAACCTATTCTCCTTTCTGTCCATGTGTTCCTGACATGAAAATCATCCTTTTATTCATTTGTGTCCAGGTGTTCCCGAGATGAAAATCAACCTTTTCTCCTTTCTGTCTCCAGAATCGTCCCCACCCTACACGAGCCCCGGTTTTCTCAGTTCCGAGTCTCAGATCGGCCGCCAGGTGTTCCAAGTGGTGCTGCACAAAGAAGGTAGCCAGGGCATCGGTCTGACCATCGTGGGGGGAGAGGCCACCAACAGCCTGGACCTGGGCATTTTTGTCAAGTCTGTGGCGCCAGGTGGCCCGGCAGAGCGCGACGGACGAATCAAATCGGGCGACCGCCTGATTGGAATCAACGGCACCAGCCTGGAGGGCAAGCAGCACCACGAGGCGGTGGCTCTGATCCGAGATGGCGGCGACGCTATATCGCTGCTCGTCTCGCAAATCAGGCCCCCGGCCACCATCAAGAGGAGGGAAGAGGGGGTGGCCACGCGAAGAGACGTGGTGGTGGCGGCCTCCGCCAATACCCCGGGCCACCGTGGTGAGCCGATTTCCCTTTTCCCCCACAGAGGTGAGACGGCGGTCACCCGGAGTGACTTGAATCTGGTTGGGAACAGGGGTCAGGCTGAGAGAGTGGGCGACGATTCTTCATATTGGGGCCAACACGTCCCGAGCAGCGCTGCTTTGGACGAGGCTCGCAAGTTTCTGAGATTTGACGATGTTGTGAATATACCCCATAACCAACTTCATAGTAGTAATGTTAGTGACAACGACGATGTGTGCCATTCTGATGAGGAGAGGAGAATAAGGAGGAGGGGGGGAAGGTTCCCTTTGGAACCATCATCTACCCCGCCACCACCAGCAACCTCGGAACTTATCTCCACGACCTTGAACATGTCTGCCGATCTGGAGACGTTGTCTCGTCCAGCAGCGACCTCCACTCGTCCGAGCTCTCCGTCTTCCCGACCCAGGCAGAGCGTGCTGGTGGGGGAGAGGGAGCCTGCTGCTGCGACTATCTCCCCGCTGACTGTAGACATGGACAGGTTCGAGGAAGACCTTCGGGCTGACCTGGAGCTCAGCTACAGGCTGTCTCATGACACATTGACGCACGACACGCTGACACATGACGCACTAACACATGACGCACTGACGCACAAGACACTGACACAGAACCAGTTGTACGAGGCCAAGGCTCTGCCTTCGGACAGGGCAAGGTCTTGGGGGGAGGAGGGTGGGGAGGGTCTTACGCCGGAGGAACGAGAGGACTTGCAGATCCTGGGAGGTGAGCTATCCCACACATTGGTTACTTTTTTAAGTCTCTTTTTCCTATTTTACTCTTTCCCTCTGCAGCTATCACACACACACACACACACACACACACACACACACACACACACATTTACTGTTTGTAATAGCCTGGTCACTAGTCAGGTTAAACTATAATAACCTGGGCTGTGAAACAGCAAGTGTTTTAACCTGTAATTTGATGTTTTGCAGTTAAGTTTAGCATTTAATTCAAAATAATTGATTTGCGACAGTTTAATGGCTGCATGTGTGATCTGCAGCAAAAAATACTGCAGTCTGACCCGCAAAACAGTGCATTTATGTGCGGGAGTGAAAGTAAAAATGTACCCAAATCAGTTATAAAAATTTCAGAATAGACAGCATTAGTCATGTTATATTCATGAAACGCATGAGACTTTTTCCAACACTTTGGGTGGTTGGAGGGTGCCAGTGGTAGGTCCTACTTCATTTCTTTCCGATATTCTTTCCATTTGTCTATTTTGCTGGTTCCCTGCATTTAATGACTGTTATTGTTTCAGTGTGCTTCTTTTTACTTAAAAGAAATGAATTTGGATACTGTGGATGTAGTAACAACTACAACAACAGCAATACAAAGACTGTAGGGCTCCTGTGATTATTCTCAGGTCACCGCAATTGTGTCTGTCTGCCTACCAGAACTTTTTTGGGGGGCGCTTGAAGAAAATGCACATGTCTGTTTTTTGTGACCAAACCCGTATCTGACTTTTTCTTCTATTGGAACTCAAGAGTCATAGCGTTGTAAAAAAACAACCTCATAGCCTTCCATTAAATAAGTCTTTTTTGGTGGAAATAAATAAATTCACCCTTATATGAGAGGTGTAACTCTCATTAAACTGAAGATGAATTTCACTTTATTTTTTTATTGTCCAAATTTTGCCCATCAAATTAAATTGCTAATTCCTTCCAGCCTGACTCAGCCCAGTGACAGAAATATGCACGGTTTAACCCATGAGTGTTTTATGTGATGTGATGTGAGCCAATGGCCTTAAACTTAAACACTGAATAAACTTATTACTTACTACCTTTTCTTGCTTACACTAAGATGTAAATAACCGTTAATGGGATGTTCTGCTGGTTTTTACTCAAACAAACTAAGCAAAGTGGGTGGTTGGCAGGTGCTCTGGTGTGGTTTGCTTCTTATTTCCTATCAAACATCTGTCGTCCATATCTCCCCTTCTTCTTTTTTATGTTTGTTACTCTCTTGTAACAGCTCTAGTCTTCTGGCGCTCATATGACCTTATGCAGTTGCGAGCACCGTAAAACCTCTAGTGAAACGAAACTGAAACAAGACAAACGAACACTGAATGACTGTTCTTGTGTCGTTGTGCTTCCTTTTGCTCAAAATGAACTGTAGCAACGAGTAAAAAGAACTGTTTCCTTCTGTTTCTTCAGACATAGCAGCACTGGAGGCGGATGACTCCTCCTCTGACAGTGACTTCGAAACAGCCGTCAGGAACACCATTGAAGGCACGGGGAAGTCAAGTCCAGGGAAAATTGTCAACGCAGTCAGCCCCACTATTGTGAGGCCGTCAGCTGTAGGAATTCCCAGGTACTGTGTACTCTATGTGTCATGACGCTGTGGAATCGGGCATTCATCAATTTTGGGGCATATGGAGCTATTAGTATCATCTCAAAGCTTGTTCGTTTGTCTTACATTTTGCGGAAAAAACTAACCCATCTATCTTGAATAGAAGTCAAGATATTTGCGATTGAAGGAGGTGGGGGTTGCCTGATATCAGGTTAAATAAGCGAGAAAATAGCCGGATTACATTGTGTCTCAATGTGCTTCTCTTTCCTCAAACTCAAAGTCTGTATGATTGTGTCTGTGTACATATATCTGTGCATATATTATTTATGTGTGTATTTCCTTGTCGTAGTTTGAGCTTGTGATTTCTTTTACTCAGAGTAAACTAAAATTCTTGAGTGGTTGGCGGGTACTCTGGTGTGCTTTGCTCCTTCTTTTCTATCAAACATCTGTTGTCCTTATCTCTCCTTTTTTGTTTGTTTGTTACTCTCTTGTAACACCTCTAATCTCTGGCACTTGTATGACTTAATTATGTTGCAAGTGCCATAAAACTTTTATTAAAACATAAAACAAACTAACATTTTTTGTCTTTCTCACAGGCGACTGTCTGCCTCCGATGTAGTGTATGAAGTTATTTTAGAGCGACAAGACGATTCTCTTGGAATCCTGACAAGCGTAAGTAACCTGGAAACATTCACTCCTGTCTGCTGTCTTCTATACTCAAGCCTGCCCCTTAACTCTTTATCTCCCACTTCTGTTTATGCAAACAAGCAAACTGACTCAAGAGTTGAAAGAAGTATTTAACTCGTACTATTTGTGTCACGATGGGGTGAAATCAGGCGCTCGTCGATATTTAGGCATATGGAGTATTTTTATCATCTTAAAGCTTATTCATTTGTCTTGCTTTTGCCAAAAGAAATACCCATCTATCTTCTATAGAAGTCGAGATATTTTGGTTTGAAGGAGGTAGGGGGTCACCTCGTTTCAAAGGTAAAATTAGCAAGAAAATGGATGCCCAAGTTTGGTGACTTCCAAAGCTTGAGAGTCCTTGGAAAGTAAAAACTTACATTTTTTGTGCCTTTAATCGTTTTTTTTTTTGGTGGTAAAAATCCACACAGCAATATGTTTTTAAATGGACATGAAAGGTGTTGAGCCAAAAATTTACAAATTCAATGAAAATTACCAAAGGGGGAAACAATACAGTTTTCTTTGATTTCTTTATTTTGACGAGCGCTTGTTTTCACAACAGATGAATGACATATGATACCAGTAAGTTATGTCATTGAACTAATGCCTGTTTTGTCCGTGTGGTAGGCTGGCGGTGAGGAAGGCTTCCCGGCGGACGGAGTCTACATCAGAGAGATACTGCCTGGAAGTGCTGCTGAGATGGGAGGAATTCTGGCTCCAGGTTGGTCACTGTTCACTTGGCTACCTCAGAATTACAAAGTTCTGTCTGATACTTTTAGCCGTTTTGAGTTTCTGAGACCGTGAGTTCAGAAACCATATTTTCTGTCTCCTCTATCGAAATCGTAAGATCATTCAGAGTCATTATCAAGATTTTCAAAGAATTGCTTTCGGAAAAGCTTGACATGTTGTGAAACTCCACGTTTTTTATGTCAAATTTCTCAAAACTGGGTACTGAGCAGACAGAATTTTGTAATTCAGAGGTAGTCACTTGTCTTTCTGTGTGTTTGTTCATATGTCATGTTGATGAGTGGTTGGAGGGTGCTCTGGTGTGGTTTGCTCTTGTTTTCCTATCAAATATCTATCAACCTTCCCTCCTTTTTTGTATTTGTTACCCTCTTGTAGCACCTCTAATCTTCAGCACTTATATGATTAAGTTCATATGTCAGTATGTGTGCGTATAGTTGAAGAGCTCCATTGGAAGGTCCTTTTCATTTATTTCCCTCTACTTTTTTCTCTCTGTTTCTCGTACTTTTCCTGGCTCTAAATAACCATTATTGTGCGATGTGCTTCTCTCTCCTCATACTCAAAGTGCGTTTGATTGTGTGCGTGTATGTCTGTGTGTGTGTATCTATGCATCTATATATGTGTGTGGGTGTGTATGACTAACATTTTGGACCTTATGTGAACAGTTTACTGAGTGTGTCAAAATAATAAGGTTTCAGTTGTCAGGGGTATTACTTTTTGTCTAGCTATTGCAACGAATTCTTTGGGGGTTTTTTTTGTGACTATCATATTCTCAGAGGCATCTATCTAAATTTGGGCGGGCAGGGGGTTCCCAGCCAAAGTTTTCAGATTTCCAATAGGTAATGAAACGCTCTTGCAGTATAGTAACAGACAAGCAAACGTTAGCATCAAATTCAAACTTTTAGCAGATTTCATGACACCCTCCCTACAAAAGGTTATTAAAGTTCCTTGCGTGGGTGGTTGGCGGGTGCTCTGGTGTGGTTTGCTCCTTCTTTCTATCAAACATCTATTGTCTTTATCTACCCTCCTCCTTTTTTGTATTTGTTACTCTCTTGTAACACCTCTAATCTTCTGCACTTATATGAAATTATTGTGTTGCAAGTGCTGGAAAACTCTTTCTACAACAAAAAGTTCCCTGCCTCTTGCCTGTCCAGGTGACCGACTGCTGGAGGTGGCAGGAGAGAACGTGCTGGACATGAGACCAGAGCAGGTGGGAGTCTTGCTCCGATCTGCCCCACCCTTGTGCACAGTCAAAGTGGTGCGGTCAGCCACCAGGGACGCTGCCCTCACCGGAGCCGGGAGCTTCGGTCGTTTTGCTGTGGTGAGTCATCAGCTAACCTCTTGAGTCATCAGGTAACCTCTTGAGTCATCAGATAACCTCTTAGTCATCAGATAACTCTTTGAGTCATCAGATAACCTCTTAGTCATCAGATAACCTTTTGAGATAACCTCTTAGTCATCAGATAACCTCTTGAGTCATCAGATAACCTCTTGAGTCATCACATAACTTTTGAGTCATCAAATAACCTCTTGAGTCATCAGATGACCTCTTGAGTCATCAGATAACCTCTTAGTCATCAGATAACCTCTTGAGTCATCAGATGACCTCTTGAGTCATCAGATAACCTCTTAGTCATCAGATAACCTCTTAGTCATCAGATAACCTCTTAGTCATCAAATAACCTCTTGAGTCATCAGATAACCTCTTAGTCATCAGATAACCTCTGAAACATCAGATAACCTCTTGAGTCATCAGATAACCTCTTGTTTGTTCTTGGACGATTATTGTATGCAGAGCACACCATTGGGTAGCTGAGAGTTATCATTTATATTTGGGTCTAATTTCTCAACAAAACTAGGTACTGAGCAGACAGCTTTGTAATTCTGAGGCAGTGACTTGTCTTTTTGTATTTTGGTTCATATGTCACGTTGGTGGGTGGTTGGAGGGTGCTCTGGTGTGGTTTGCTCCTTCTTTCCTATCAAATATCTGTCGACCTTATCTCCCCTGCTTCTTTTTTGTGTTTGTTACGCTCTTGTAACGCCTCTAAATCTTTCACACTTATATGACCTTATTGTGTTGCAAGTGCCGTAAAACTCGTTTCTATAATTAAAACATCATTTATGTGTGGGAGTAAATGAAAATTTTTTCCCTTGACAGTCCTTATTTCTACTAATAACTGCTAGTGATTCTGTCTGTAAGTAAGATGAAAAAATTCCTGTTTGTCCATTGTCTCACGCCAACTGTTCATTTATGAAGTCTATTCTCTGATGTAATGGGTTGTCTCATGTAATCTGTTCGTGTGAGGGGTTGGTGGATGCCACTGGTAGGTCACTGTTCTTCACTTTCCCTCTGTTGTTTCTGTCTATCAGTCTTTCTTTCTCCCTGCTCAAAAAGATCATTACTGTGTTGATATGCCTCTCTTTACTCAAGCAAACAAACACAGTCTGTTCTTAGGTGTAATCATGGGTGGTTGGTGGGTGTTCTGGTGTGCTCTTCTCCTTCTTTCCTATCAAACATCTATCATCCTGATCTCTCCCCCTTCTTTTTTGTGTTTGTTACTCTCTTGTAACACCTCTTTAGTCTATGGCACTTATATGACCATATTCTGTAGCAGGTGCCGTAAAACTCTTACTAAAACTAAAACTTATGTGTAATCAGATGTCTTAATGGGTCTGTTCTCTTGAGTAATCAGTCATCTTATTTAATCTGTTCTCAAGTGTAAAGAGTAATGCCATCAAGCCTCTTCATAAGATGCAGTTAGTTATCTTATTTAATTTGTGCAAGTACCGTAAAACTCTTACTGAAACTAAAACAAAGTCAATCATCTTGTTTAGTCTATTGTGATGAAATATGTTGTCTGATCTAGTCTGTTCTCTGACGTAAAATTTCCAAAATTGACCTTGTGGATCAATGTTTATATTATCTTAATCAATAATGTCTCTTCTAGCCTGTTCTCTGATGTGTGTAATCAGTAGTCTCATCTAGTCTGTTCTCTGTTGTATGTTATCGGGTGTCTTTTGTAGTCTGTTCTCTGATGTATGTTATCATTGTCTTTTGTAGTCTGTTCTCTGATGTATGTTATCAGTTGTTTTTTTGTAGTCTGTTCTCTGATGTATGTTATCAGTTGTCTTTTGTAGTCTGTTCTCTGATGTATGTTATCAGTTGTTTTTTTGTAGTCTGTTCTCTGATGTATGTTATCAGTTGTCTTTTGTAGTCTGTTCTCTGATGTATGTTATCAGTTGTTTTTTTTTGTAGTCTGTTCTCTGATGTATGTTATCAGTTGTTTTTTTGTAGTCTGTTCTCTGATGTATGTTATCAGTTGTCTTTTGTAGTCTGTTCTCTGATGTATGTTATCAGTTGTCTTTTGTAGTCTGTTCTCTGATGTATGTTATCAGTTGTTTTTTTGTAGTCTGTTCTCTGATGTATGTTATCAGTTGTCTTTTGTAGTCTGTTCTCTGATGTATGTTATCAGTTGTCTTTTGTAGTCTGTTCTCTGATGTATGTTATCAGTTGTCTTTTGTAGTCTGTTCTCTGATGTGTGTAATCAATTGTCTTATCTAGTCTGTTCTGTGTGGGTGGTTGGCAGGTGCTCTGATGTGGTTTGCTTCTTCTTTCCTATCAAACATCTATCGTCCTTATCTCCCCTTCTTCTTTTTTATGTTTGTTACTCTCTTGCAACACCTCTAATCTTCTGGCGCTCATATGACCTTATGTTGTTGCGAGTGCCGTAAAACCTCTACTAAAACTAAAATTAAACTAAACTAGTCTGTTCTCCAATGTGAAATTTCTAAAATAGCCCTTGTGGAACAATGAGGTTTATATTATCTTAGTCACTTGTCCTATTTATGTTCTCCGATATATGTAATCAGACTTATCTAATAATAAATAAATAGCATTTATAGCGCATATACTCCCTCAACAGCAAGGTCTGTGCGTTTTACAGTCTAGTCTTTTCCTTTACAGTTGTTTTGTGGGTGGTTGGCGGGTGCTCTGGTGTGGTTTGCTCCTTCTTTTTTACCAAACATCTATCGTCCTGATCTCTCCTCCTTTTTTTGTATTTGTTACTCTCTTGTAACACCTCTAATCTTCGGCACTTATATGATCGTATTGTAGGACTCTTACAAAAACTTAGTTGTTTTTTATTCTCTTACTGCCCTCCCTGCACAGAACACTTCGCTGCGAGACAGAGCATCGCAAGGTACAGCGCTAGAGGGCACGGGTGGCTCCCCCAGCACGGGTGTGTGGGACCTGGCCCGGGTGAGCTCGATCCGTCCCTTGGTGGCCTCTGCCCCGAAAGAGAGGAGCCAGCCGCTGGGAGAGAACCTGAACATCGTCCCCCCTCCCCCGCCCCCACCCCCTGCCTTCTCTCTGGGAGAGTCGGAGTCCAATACGCAGAGTGATGTTGACTCGGACGTTCTGGACAGTTCGCGATCCGAGCTGGACAGCGTGTACCCCACCACTCATTTGTTGAAGGCAGGGGAGCCCCGACACGCTGATGTGAAAGGGTTCGAAGGGCTTGTCTTAGAGGAGGGAAAACAAGGCATGGTAGATGGTAAAGCTCCTAGGGATGGTGTGGGAGTCATGAGGAGAAGTCCAACAGGTGGGAAAGAGGAAGGAAAGGAGAAATATAAGGAGAGAGACACAGAAAAATCCAAGGAGAGAAAAATGGAGAGAGACAAGGAGAGAGCCAAAGAGACAAGGATGGAGAAAGACAAGGAAAGAGAGAGAGATGAGGAGAGAGCCAAGGAGAAAAGAACAGAGAGGGACAAGGAAAGAGAGAGAGACACTGAGAGAGCCAAGGAGAAAGAGGAGTGGGTTGTTGGGAGGGGTAAAAAGTCCTCTGATGGTGGGACTTCTGCCAAAGCTGCTGCCGATGTTGATGATGATGATGATGATGCTGTCTCCAGTAGCATGGGTTTCTCGGAGCACCTGGCCGTACTTCAGACAGAGCTAGACGCCCACCTCAGGGCAGAGCTCCCCTCCAGTGGCCGGTCATCCACCGACTCTTTGGTCATCAAGTCATCACAGAAATCTTTGGCCAAGCCGCCGCGGAAATTCGGGGAGGATCAGAAGAAAACAGTCCAGAGGCAGACCAGGCTAGACGGTGAGGCTCAGGAAGTCGCTGAGAGGTGGGACGTCCAGCCCGTGGACCGAGTCCAGCTCAAAGAGGATGCTGATGGTGGTCAAGGAGGCGATGCTGCGGTCAGTGTGGCTCGAGGGGAGGAGGGGAGGACAGATCCTGAGGCCACAGACGTACCAGAGAGGGAACGGAGGCAGGAGGGTCAGACGTCTAGTGAACAGTCGCTGGATCCTTTTGAACCTGAGGTGTGTTGGTTGTGGTCACTTATGTGTGGTTACTGATGTACTACCCCCAGTGACACGAAAATCCAGTGTCATAGATACAGTTTCTGAAATGAAAAATCTAATGTTATAAATACAGTTGCTGACACGATAATCTAATGTTATAAATACAGTTTCTAATATGAAAAATCTAATGTTATAAAAACCGTTTCTGACATGATCATCTAATGTTATAAATACAGTTGCTGAAAGAAAAATCTAATGTTATAAATACAGTCACTGACATGATAATCTAATGTTATAAATACAGCGGCTGAAATGAAAAATCTAATGTTATAAATACTGTTGCGACATGAAAATCTATTGTTATGGAGAGGGCTGCACTTGAAAATCCAATACGTTGTGGTCATTGTAATTTTTTAATTTCCTCAGTTGTTCAAAATCTCCCTGGATAAACAAGGGAAGACGTTTGGATTCACAGTTGCAGGTGGCATGACCACTGGTGGGTGTTACATCAAACAGTTGGTGGCAGAGCCAGCGGTCAGTGACGGACGGCTGCGGCCAGGGGATAAGATTGTCCAGGTGAGGTTATTGGAGTGTTGTAGGGGTCAGAGGTAACCAACCGTTTAAGTGATTTACTAACTCTATATTTATTAAAGCAAATCAAGTTGAAGACAAGTCAAGTATATCTTTAAAAAAGTGAACAATATACGTAGTCGTGGTAGGATTCATGTGACTTAACCCTTTGAGCCCTAACCTCCTGAGGCTACGGTGCCCCTCTGCCTGAGCTCCTGAGCGATATATTACTAACATTCATGTGATCATCAGAATCTCTTTCAATATCCCACTCAGGGTAGTCTTCCTCATTACCAGCATCTAATTCAGACAGATCCTCTATATAATCAATAACATCCTGTGTAGTAAACACAGTTTCTCGTGCACATTTGTCTCAATCGGGCTGGTTTGGGGAAAAGGTCTCGCTCATCGCTGTACCAGTGGCTAGGCGTATGGGCAGTTTTACTTTTTACACGTCACTGGTGTGCTGGTGGCTAGGGCTCAAAGGATTAACCTGTTTTTTATTTGATCCTGAAGATAAGAAGGCAGAGGCCAGTACTGCTGTGGAGAGGAGGATGGTTTTGGGAATACAAAAAGGAAGCCGAAAATCTGGCATCCTTGCAGGAAAGAACAGAAGAACATTCAACCAGATATGTACTGTGGGTGGTTGGCGGGCGCTCTGGTGTGGTTTGCTCCTTCTTTCCTACAGAAAACTATCGTCCTTATCTCCCCTTCTTCTTTTTTATGTTTGTTACTCTCTTGTAACGCCTCTAATCTTCTGGCTCTCATATGACCTTATGCAGTTGCGAGTGCCGTAAAACACTTATTAAAACTAACTAAGATATGCAGTGGCACAATCAGTAGAAAGACCCCCAGCAGCATTTTGGAGAAAGCAACGAAGCATCAATGCACATATCCAGAATGCAGGGATGTTGCTTCCTGAAACAATCGTTTGATCCGTTTAACTAACTCAACTTACTGTCACCAGGTAAATGGACAAGACACGACCACGCTGAGCCACTTTGAGGCTGTCTGTCTGCTGAGAAAGATTCCCGATACTGTCACGCTGCACCTGTTGAGGTATCCCAGCTCTTTAGAGACACAGGAGCGGCTGAGAAAACTTCAGGTAGGCATCAGCTCAAGTATAGGTGTCTGTCTGTTTGTCTGTCTGTCGTGTCTTTGTCTCTCTCTCTCTGTCTGTCTTTCTGTCTGTCTGTCTGTCTGTCTCTCTCTCTCTCTCTCTCTCTCTCTCTCTCTCTCTCTCTCTCTCTCCGTGTGTGTGTGTGTTTGTGCGAAGTCATCAGCGTCATGGGCATATGTGTGTGTGCCTGTGTCTCTCACACTTTTTTCAATTTCACTTTTACTGCACAGTGGGTAATGTATTTGCCCTGACCAGTTCATCAGTGACTGTGTTGTGTGTGTGTGTGCGCACACGCGCCTCTCTGATGAGATATATTTTACTCTCTCCGTCTCTCTCTTTTTTTCTCTTTCATTTTCCCTCTCTCTCTCTCACTTCCTTTCTCTCTCTCTCCTTCTCTCTCTCTCTCTCTCTCTCTCTCTCTCTCTCTCTCTCTCTCTCTCTCTCTCTCTCTCTCTCTCTCTGTCACCTTCTCACTTTCTCACTTACAACCCACAGGATGATGCGTTTGCCCTGACCAAGTCCCCAGCATCAGACACCGCAGTCCTACCGGAAGACACTGCTCATGCTACCGGGGAGGGAGGAGAGACTCAGAAATCTGTCCGCGATCTTGGCCGACCTGTCGGTACGCCCAAAGCAATTATCAAACCGTATGGCTACCGGGGAAAATCTGGCCAGACTGAAGTGGTATCAGAGACTGAAGATCCCCTCGAGCTGGCCAAACAGGCAATGGAAGACCTGACGTTGAGCAGTGAAGACAGAGAAGAAGTCAGCCAAAAGAATACAGAGGTAATATGCTCACTCGTATGTATATGGGAACTTTATCTGACTGGTTTCTTTGCGTTGCATTTGGTACAAAGTTACACTGCTGTCTCTTTATTGTCTGTTGTGCTAAGTCAGATTAAGTCAAAATGGTGGGTGGTTGGCGGGTGCTTTGTTGTGGTTTGCTTCTTCTTTCCTATCTAACATCTGTTTTCTTTATCTCCTCCCCTCCTTCTTTTTTGTGTTTGTTATTCTCTTGTAACACTGTTATCTTCTGCACTTATTTGACCCTTTTCTGTTGCAAGTGCCGTAAAACTCTTACTAAAACAAATTTCTTTTGTACTGTGTCAAACTGGTTTCTCTTATTGTCCTTTGTACTTATGCAAGTTGGTTTCTATTATTGTCCTTTGTACTTATGCAAGTTGGTTTCTCTTATTGTCCTTTGTACTTATGCAAGTTGGTTTCTCTTATTGTCCTTTGTACTTATGCAAGTTGGTTTCTATTATTGTCTTTTGTACTTATGCAAGTTGGTTTCTATTATTGTCTTTTGTACTTATGCAAGTTGGTTTCTCTTATTGTCCTTTGTACTTATGCAAGTTGGTTTCTCTTATTGTCCTTTGTACTTATGCAAGTTGGTTTCTATTATTGTCCTTTGTACTTATGCAAGTTGGTTTCTATTATTGTCCTTTGTACTTATGCAAGTTGGTTTCTATTATTGTCCTTTGTACTTATGCAAGTTGGTTTCTATTATTGTCCTTTGTACTTATGCAAGTTGGTTTCTATTATTGTCCTTTGTACTTATGCAAGTTGGTTTCTCTTATTGTCCTTTGTACAAATTTAGACTGATTTCTCTTATTGCCTTTTGTACTTAATCAACCTGGATTTTTTTTGGGGGGGGGGGAGTCAAACTTTTTACTGTATGCTCTAATGTCTTTTGTACTTAATATGTATTGTGTTGATGTTCATTCCTTAAACTCAAACAAACATTGGAAGACTCATGTGTGGGTGAGCGTCGTCAGGTAGTTGATGATCTGTGCGGGTGGTTGGAGGGTGCTGTTGGTAGGCTCCATTTAGTTCCCCTCTGTTGTTTCTCTGTGTCTATCTTGCTTTCTCCATGCTCGAAGTGGAAAGTGGGTGGTTGGCGGATGCTCTCTTGTGATTTGCTCCTTCTTTCCTATCAAACGTATAATATCGTCCTCATATCCTCTCCTTTTTTGTGTTTGTTACTCTCTTGTAACACCTCCCTGTCAGCACTTAAACGACCTTATTGTGTTGCAAGTGCCATAAAACACTTACTAAAGTATAAAACGACGTGGAAATGACCATTTGAGTGGTTGGAAGGTGCCACTGATAGCCCCTACTTCTTTTCTGTCCCTCCTTTGTTTGTGTCTTTAATGAGCATTATCGTGTTGATATATTTCTCAGTTCTCATACAAACAAACAAAAATGCTTATGTGACGATAATGTGCTGCAAGTGCCGTAAAACTCCTGCTAAAAAACTAAAAGTAAACTCACAAAACTCCCTCTCTCCCCCACAAAACTCCCTCCCTTCCCCCAGCTCGCTGTAATGAGAGTTGAGTTGATCAAACCGGATGGGCCTGGTACTTCCAGTCTCGGGCTCAGCCTGGTGGAGAGGGAGCTAGAGGGGCAGTCGGGCATACACGTCAAGCGCATACAGCCCCGCAGTCTCGTGGCTCAGGATGGACGGCTCGCTGTGGGCGATAGGATTCTGCAGGTGAATTCTTGGCGTTGTCTACTGTTCATTCGTTCTCTCCTGTTGGATTTTTTTTTTACCTCTCTTTCTTTCTGTCTTTTTTGTTTCTCTGTCTTTCTCTCTCTCCCACATGCTCTCTTCTCTTTTCCCCCTCCCCTCTCTCTCTCTCTCTATCTGTCTCTAATTGCCTCTCTCTCTCTCTCTCTCTCTCTCTCTCTCTCTCTCTCTCTCTCTCTCTCTCTCTCTCCCACATGCTCTCTTCTCTTTTTCCCCCTCCCCCCCTCTCTCTATCTCTCTGTTTCAGTTTGCCTGTCTTTCTCTCTCTTTCTGCCCCCCCCTCTCTCTCTCTCTCTCTCTCTCTCTCTTTCTTTCCCTCTCTCTCTCACTCTCTCTCTTTCTCTTTCTCTTTCTCTCCCTCTCTCTGTCTGTCACTCTTTCTCTGTCTGTCTCCCTCTCTGTCTGTCTCCCTTTCTGTCTGTCTGTCTGTCTGTCTATCTGTCTCTCTCTCCTTCCCCCCCCCCCTCTCTCTCTCCCTCTCTCTCTCTCATGCTCTCCCCACTGTATTATGTCGTTAGGTCAATGGTATCTCCTTCATCGGACTGGGCCAAAAGGCAGCTGCATCGGTACTCAGGGAACTCCGTGGGAAGCTGGTGCTCACAATAGCCAGGTGAGTGAGGAGGGCTCGCTGCTGTGGTGGATGTGTGTGTGTGTGTGTTTGTGTTGTTGATCTGTGTGAGTGTATGTGTGGGTGTTCGTGGTGTGTGTGTGTGTTGGGGGGGTGGGGGGTGTTCATGATGTGTGTGGATGCTCATGATGTGTGTGTGTGTGTTCATAATGTGTATATGTGAGGGTGTATAGGGCTGTTCATGATGTGTATATTATGTGAGGGTGTATGGGGCTGTTCATGATGTGTATATGTGAGGGTGTATGGGGCTGTTCATGATGTGTGTGAATGTCGGGGGGGGGGGGGGTGTTGATGTGTGTGGATGTTCATGATGTGTGTGGATGCTCATGATGTGTGTGTGTGTGTTCATGATGTGTATATGTGAGAGTGTATGGGGCTGTTCATGATGTGTGTGTGTGTCGGGGGGGAGGTCATGATGTGTGTGCTTCTTTTCTTTCCTTCTTAGTTCCTGTCCATCCATCTTGCTTTTTTCCCTGTAGTAATTGAATAACTATGTGCCTGGTTGATTGGTGCTCTGGTATGGTTTCCTTGTTTCCTATCAAACATCTATTGTCCTTATCTCTGCTCCATCTTTTTTCTGTTTGTTATTCTCCAGGAACACCAACACCTCTAATCTTTGGCATTTAATATGACCTATTTTTGTTTGCAAGTGCCTTAAAACTTATACTAAAACTAAAACTATACAAATAACCATTATCTTATCGATGTGCTTTGCTTTATTCCCACAAACCCAAACAGTAGGTGGTTGGCAGGTGCTCTGGTGTGGTTTGCTTCTTCTTTTCTATCAAACATCTATCGTCCTTATCTCTCCTCCTTTTTTATGTTTGTTACTCTCTTGTGACACCTCTCATCTCCTGGCGCTCATATGTCCTTATGCAATTATGAGCGCCGTAAAACCTCTACTAAAACGAAACAAAAAACCCGAACAAGTGAAAATCCATCGTTAGGTCTCTTGTTTATACTTCCTGTGATGCAAATTGCCAACAAAATTGAGACTAAACCTGTCCTCCTTCAGGTCTACCAGGAGAGGAGGAGCCAACCCTCCTGATGGTGAGGCAAGCGGTGAGGACGGCATCGATGACATGCTGGGTGTCAAAGGTCAGAACTGGAGAACATTGATCCTTTGTTATGTAGAAAGCTTGCCAACTTTTTCAAAACCAAATCAGTCAGGGATATCCGGTCTTATAACACCAGATTAACACTTACTGTACCGCAGGCTAATATAGTGGAAAAACCCTCAAGTACCGCACCAGTTTAGAACGCTGAAGTGGTAGAATTTTTTTTCATTAAAAAAACCTTGGCAGCCCAAGAAACACGTCTTAATAATTCATAGAGGTACATCAACCATTCAGCTATCATATAGAGTGACTTCCTTTGGTATTTACTTCAGTGCAGTGCGTCCATTCCTTGTTTAATTATGTTTAGTGTGCCTGGTTGCGTCAGCGACTAAAGTCGCCAGCAGTAGTGAGCGCATACTACGGCCTAGCGACTACGACGGTACTGTAAATGTAAAGCAACAACAAACAAAATTACATCATATGGGCAGGTGATTGACGGGTGCACTGATGTGGTTTGCTCCTTCTTTCCTTTCAAAACATCTTATCGTCCTGATCTCTCCTGCTTCTTTTTTGTGTTTGCTACTCTCTTGTTACACCTCTAATCTTCAGCACTCATTAATGACCTTATTGTGTTACAAGTGCCGTAAAACTTTTAATAAAACTAAAAACCTAGTAAATCGCTGAGTACTTGGTTCTCCTGTTGTGGTGCAAATAACAAAGAACGTTGATCTATTTTGTTGAAAATTACCTAGAATTTCCCTCTTTTGTTGTGTAATATATGAGTACTTTTGTTCCCCTGTTTTGTAGTGCGTTGCCAAGAACTTTGATCTCCTGTTGGGTAATAAATTACAAAGCTGTTCGATCTCCTGTTGTGTAATAAATCTTAAAGAACTTTGATCTCTGATTGTGTAATAAATAACAAAGATATTTGATCTCTGATTGTGCGATAAATTACAAAGATCTTTGATCCCCTGTTGTGTAATAAATCGTCAAACAAATACTGAGTAGATTCCAATGAACTTTGTTGTTTCCCCTCTGACACAGATGTGACTGACTCTGATGATGACATCACATCCATGGCACAGGAGGCAGAGAGTCTGCTAGAGGAAGCAGGTAAATCATTGTGTAGCAGTTTGTTTTTTGTATTGTGTGTGTGTATCTATATGTGTATGGGTATGTGGATGCATGTTTGTGTATGTGTACGGGTGTGTGTGTATGCGTGGACCCGGGACTTGTGTGTCATTGACCTATATGTGCAGTGCTGACAAAGAATTGATACGGCTGACCTTTTTATGTGTTGTAAGATGTAGTTATGTATACAGTATAGTTTAAGGTTATTTGACATACGTTTAAGTCCAGGAAATACAAACAGAAACAGTCAGGTCCCAAAGTGCTTACTCCCATTGCCTGCCTTTGTTTCATACATTTAACCAACACGCCTAAGACAAGGGTTGTAACTGTGTGATACCACAAAACAAGGAGATACGTGTACAACGAGAGGGTGGTTGGAGGGTGCTGCTGGTAAATCCTCTTTCATTCCTTTTCACCCCCTGGGGCGGTGTCACCTACTGAAGTGTCTTTGAACCATACCCAAAGGGGGGACTTTTCTCGTCCATGCACAGTAAATGAGCTGATTCATCAATGTCACGCTCATAACTGTGCCTGATCTACAACAGGGAACTGCTGCTTTTTCTTTCCTAATCCTTACTATTGTCATTTTCCTCTACTTCTTTTGAATGTTTGTCACACTCTTGTGACCCACTATTTCCGGGGTGCCTTGATAGTCAAAGCAGACTTTGTGCTTTTGAAGCTAGAGAGGTGAGCAGAGTAAGTCTGATTCCCTGTAAGGACTTCTCTGCTGACATCCACCCCTTGGTGCTCATATGACATTATGAGGTTAATTGCGAGCGCCGTAAAACCTCTACTAAAACTAAAACTTAAACATTCCGTTTCCTCTTTTGTTTCTGTCAATTTATCTTTTTCCCCACTCACTTAACAACCATTATTGGTTTGATGTACTTTTCATTACTCAACTGGAAACTTTGGAACAATTTGAGAGTTTTCATCATAATTGTAAGGTCTTTCATGTGGAAGAGGATGGACTGTGTGGTAAAGGCAACTACTGTCATTATGTCTTAAGGAGTGGATGGTTGGAGGGTGCCACTAGTAGGTCTCACTTCTTTTCTTTCCTTCTATTGTTTCTGTGTGTCTGTCTTGCTTTTTCCTTGTACCAAACGACTGTAATTGTTTCAGTGGGCTTCCATTTTCTTCGGCTGCTGTCATTATTTGTCCAAACTGGACAGTTGGAAGTCACCACCGGTAGGTTGTACTTCTTTTCTTTCCCACAATCGTTTCTGTCAGTCTGTCTGCCTCGGGGTTTTTTTTCCCTGTACTACACAACTGTTATTGTGTCCCGATGAGCTACTCTTTACTCAAACAAAACTTTTAAAATACGAACGAAAATCATTTCTTCAGGTGTGAAAGCGTCTGAGGGCAGCCGAACCGACCTGGGAGAGGGTGGCTACGCGTCCCCGAGACTTCTGTCTGTGGCCAGACCCGTGGTCCTGACGGAGCAGTGGGTCGACGATTTGCCTCTGATGTCGCAGCCGCCCGGGGGCAGGGAGGGAGAAGGCGCCGGCCACAGTCCCTCCAACGAAGCTGCCACCTACGCTATCCAGGTCCTGCAGAGTCTGGCTGACCTTGTGGAGAGTGGGGAGCCTTATGAGGAGTTCAAAGTGAGTAGGACTTGTGGAGGGGTTCGGGGTTAGTAGACCTTATGAGGAGTTCAGGGTCCGTAAAACTTATGAGGAGTTCAGGGTCAGTAAAACTTATGAGGAGTTCAGGGTCAGTAAAACTTATGAGGAGTTCAGGGTCAATAAAACTTATAAGGAGTTCAAGGTGGGTAGGATCTGTGAGGGGTTCGGAGTTTGTAGGACTTAAAAGGAGTTCAGGGTTACCAGAATTTATGAGGAGTTCATGGTTATTAGAACTTATGAAGTAGAACTTATGAGGAGTCTATGGTAAGTAGAAATTATGAAGTATGAGGAGTTTATGGTTGATAGAACTTATGAGGAGTACAAGGTTAGTAGACGTGTGAGGAGTTGGTGGTTACTAGAACTTACGAGGAGTTTATGGTTAGTAGACCTTATGAGGAGTTTATGATTAGTGGAGCGTATGAGGAGTTATTGTTAAATGAACTTCTGAGGAGTTTATGATTAGTGGAGCGTATGAGGAGTTATTGTTAAATGAACTTCTGAGGAGTTTATGATTAGTGGAGCGTATGAGGAGTTATTGTTAAATGAACTTCTGAGGTTAGTAAGACTTGTGAGGAGTTTAGGTTAGCAGAACTTATAAGGAGTTCAGGGTTAGTAGAACTTGTGAGGATTTCCAGGTTAGTAAAAGTTATGAGGAGTTTAAGGTTGATATCTTTTGAGTGAGGGGGGGGGCCACAAGTAGGTCTTCTTCTTTAGTTTCCCTCTGTTGTTTCTGTTTGTCTGTCTGTCAGTCTTTGCGTTTTCCCAGTACAAGATGATTTCCAACTTCCTTCTCTCCATCTAATCACTGTCCCTCCTCTTTCTCTCTCTCTCTCTCTCTCTCTCTCTCACTCTCTCTCTTTCTCTGTCTCTGTCTCTCTCTCTCTCTCTCTCTCTCTCTCTCTCTCTCTCTCTCTCATCTCTCACTCTCTCTCTCTCTCTCTCTCTCTCTCTCTCTCTCTCTCTCTCTCTCTCTCTCTCTCTCTCTCTCTCTCTCTCTCTCTCTCTCTCTCTCTCTCTTTTCCCCTCCTTCCCAGTTTGTCTATTTTTTGTGGTGAGTTTGAAATCTTTATCGTCAGGATCTGCGACAAATGAAAGAAGAGGACTCTAGTGATGTGGGCAAACTGGCGGAGAACAAAAGCAAGAACCGATACAGAAATGTTCTGCCCTGTGAGTTGGTGCATGTGTTCACTGAGATTTCTGTTATAGTGTGTATAGTGTGTCAGAAATGTGCTGCACTGTGAGTTTATGAGAATATCTGTGCAGGTTTTTGTTAGTATATGAAAAGTGTTGACCTGTGAGTTCCCACGTCTGTCCCCCAATTTTCAGTACTGTTTACTATTGGTTTTACGATGGTAAAAAGTGTTCTTCTGTATGAGACTGCATATGCATATCTATGTTTTATAGTCCGCTCACTTTTTTCATGCCCACTGTTTCTTGCTATTTTCTGAAAAATTGTCTGTAGCATTGCTTTGCTTTTTTTCATGAAATTCTTACATTTTGACAGGCCTTAAGATTTTCATTTCTTTTAATCTGCACATTAAATGGTTTATTCAAAGTGGCAGACTCCTTTGATCTTTTTGGAATATCACAAGATTCCAGACCTAAAAACTCAATATTACAGTAACAAAGGCATTTAGCCTTTGAAAGTTTAAAAAAATACTTTTTGGGGGTTTTGACAGTACAGAAAAAGCAAGCAGGAGGGAGAGAATGTGAGCCCTGATGTAAAATCATCCTTGTTGTTGAATGCAGTGGCCTCAGTGGTGTAATAAACCGTTCTGAATTGTGAACATTCAAGCAAGGTCGGTCTGGTTTGTTTTCAACAATCAAAGAGATGAAATCATGAACGGCTTTAATTTTTGCAGGGCAAAAAATATTCCCAAAGGTTTATAGCATTTCAAACCGCGTGTGCAAATTCCCAGTGCATTTAGATCAGAGGTAACTGAGATTTATAGCAGTACAAACATGGTCTCGAGAAGGTGAATGGACTGCAGTTAGTGTAGTACATGTGCAAGAAGTGTTCTGCAGTGTGAGTTCCTACATATATGCGAGTCATCAATTTTCCCAATCAGTTTTCTATGTATGGTACTCATATTTGTGACCTATTTGTGTTACAAGTGCCATAAAACTGTTATTAAAACCAAAAAGCTTCTCATTAATATAGATTTTACAGCACATAGAGTTAAGCGGGAATTTGCGCCATACAAATGCTAGTTACTATTTGTGTCATGACGCCGTGGAATCGGGTGCTTGTCAATTTTTAGGCATATAGAGTTATTAGCATTACCTTAAAGCTTGTTTATTTGTCTTACATTTGGCAAGAAAAAAGACTCATTTATCTTGAATAGAAGTTAAGATAGTATTTGTGACTGAAGGAGGTGGGGGGTCGTCTGGTATCAGAGGTAAAATTAGCATGAAAATGGCCGCCAAAGTTTGGTGACTTCCAAAGCTTGAGTGTGCTTAGAAACTCAAATTTACATTTTTTTGTCCCATTGATCAACTTTTTTCAGTAAAATCCTCACAGAGATGTGTTTGTAAATGGACATAAAAAATAAAAGGTGTGGAGCCAAAAAAAGAAATATAAAAAAAATATAGCCAACAGCCAGAAAAATGCCTGTTTCTTTTATTTAATTATTTTTATGAGTGCCTGATTTCACCAAGCTGCCTCACATAATGTACAATCATTATTATTATTACTCATCCAAAAAACAAACAAAAAACCCAGCTCCCTGACTGTTGCGTTGCCCTTTGTTCCACATATTTTATTATGTACTTGTATGTGCTCGTTTCGTAACGATGTGTAAGGGTGTGCGTGTGATAACCAAGTCGATGTGCGTGTGTATTTGGCGTGTACACGTGTGTGCATGAATGTGTGTGTGTGTGCGTGCGTGTATTTGGCATGTGTGTGTGCGCGTGTATTTGGCATGTGTGTGTGTCTAGTGTCTGTTCATGTGTGAATATTGTTCGCACATGCTTTTATGTAAAAGCGCCTAGAGCTGTGTTCACAAGGGAGTGGGCGCTCTAGAAATGATCTACATTATTATTATTATTATTATTATTATTTGCTCCATCCAGACGACAGTAACCGCGTGAGGCTGAGGGGCCAGGCCAGCGACTACATCAACGCAAGCCACATTTGCCTGGAGGTGGGCGACCAGCAGCACCGCGTGCGCTACATCGCCTCTCAGGGCCCGGCGCCAGACACGGTCGGCGACTTCTGGTCCATGGTTTGGCAGGAGCGGGCTGCAGCCGTGGTCATGCTCACTCAGCTCTCGGAGGCCGGAAAGGTCAAATGTCACACCTACTGGCCAGTCAGCAAGGAGGAGCCACTCCGCTTGGATGATGGGTGAGACGCCGTGGATACTGGAATGATGCGCTAACACTGCGACATGATAAAATTCTGACCGCTCGCTACTTCAGAATTACAAAGTTCTATCTGACATTTTTGGCCCTTTTGAGTACTAAGACCGTGAGGGTGGGTGGTTGGCGGGTGCTCTGGTGGGGTTTGCTTCTTCTTTTCTATCGAACATCTATCGTCTTTATCTCCCTTCCTTCTTTTTTGTGTTTGTTACGCTAACACCTTTAATCTTTGGCTCTTATATGGCCCTATCGTGTTGCAAGTGCTGTAAAACACTTACTAAAAGTAAAAGACCATGGGGTCGGAAAGCAAAAGCCTTACTTACTGTTCTATCAAAATCGTAAGAATATTCAGAGTCATTATCAAGATATTCAAAGACCTGCATGACCTATTGTGAAACTTAAATTTTTTTACATCAAATTTCTCAGTACTAGGTACTGAGCAGATAAAACTGTATTTATGAGGTAGTGCACTTTTACACAACACAGACATTGTAATGTGCAGCACAAGTCTGTAACACGTTTAGAAAACTGATCATTGTCACAGACACTGTGTATGTGTTCTTTGTTAGATTAAGGATGTATATGTGAGGCATGGTGGCGCAATCAGGCACTCGTCAAAATAATTAAATCCAAGAGACTGGCACTTTTCTGGTGGTTGGGCAATTTTCTCCAAATCCCCAGCACCATGTCCAAATAGAAACTCATTTCTGTGTAGATTTTACTGGAAAAACGTTGACAAAAAGCAAAAAAGATTGTAATTGTGCAGTTTTCAAACACACTCAAGTCAACAAACTTTGGCAGTCATTATTATAATTAATATTTTTATTTTTATCATTATTATTATTTTCACATTATTATTATTATTATTATTATTTATATTTTTAAAATTATTTTTATTATTGTTTTTATTATTATTTTAGAAAATCATTATTATGATCATGATTATTATTATTGTTGTTGTTGCTATTATTATTATTATTATTATTAATATCATCATCATCATCATTCTATCTGTGTTATTTGTTCCCTTTGCCAGGAGGCTGTGTGTCCGACTGAAGCGCAGGTACACAGTGGCGGAGATCTGTGTGCTGGACATGTCCCTGGAGGGCGGGGCAGGGGACCAGCAGGAGGTGACGCTGCTCCAGCTGATGTCCTGGCCGGACCACGGGGCACCCGACACAGCCCTGCCCCTGCTTAAGGTACGGAGAACTCGACTCGCTTTGTGTTTGTGTGCGCGCCTCAGGCACATAGGTGTGGGGAGTGGATGCGGGAGAGCCTCCACACTTGTTGGTCCTTCTTTTCTTTTTCTTTCCACACGGTATGTCCTTTTTCTTTTTTTGCACTGGTATGTCCTTTTTCTTTTCCTTCCTGTATGTCCTTTTTCTTTTTTTTTGGGTACTGGTATGTCCTACTGGTATGTCCTTTTTCCTATCTTTCCACTGGTATGTCCTTTTTCCTATCTTTCTACTGGTATGTCCTTTTTCCTATCTTTCTACTGGTATGTCCTTTTTCCTGTCTTTCCCTCTGTTGTTTTTGTCTTTTCCACTGGTATGTCCTTTTTCCTGTCTTTCCACTGGTATGTCCTTTTTCCTGTCTTTCCACTGGTATGTCCTTTTTCCTGTCTTTCCCTCTGTTGTTTTTGTCTTTTCCACTGGTATGTCCTTTTTCTTTTCCTCCCTCTATGTCCCTTTTCTTTTCTTTCCTTCTGTTATTTATTTATTTTATTTTTTTGTCCCTTTTCTTTCCCAATGTTGTTTTGTCCTTTCCACTTGTATGTCCTTTTTCTTTTCTTTCTCTCTGTTGCTTTTTGTCCTTTCCACTTGTATGTCCTGCTTCTTTTCTTTCCCTCTGTTGTTTTTTTTATCCATCCGTCTTACTTTTCCCCTGCACTTACAACTGTTGCTGTTATTGTGTTGGTACGCTCCTTTTCACTTGAACACTTCTTTGCTTTCCATTGGTATGTCCTTTTTCTTTCCTTTCCCACTTGTTTTTGTCCTGTTTTACTTTTTCTTAGCATTGAATAACTGTTACTTGGTGGTTGTCGGGTGCTCTGGTGTGGTTTGCTCCTTCCTTCCTACCAAATATCTAGCGTCCAGATCTCTTCTCCTTCTTTTTTGTGTTTTGTGTTTGTTACTCTCTTGTAACACCTGTAATCTTTGGCACTTATATGACCTTATTGTGTTGCAAGTGCCGTAAAACTCTTACAAACACTTTTTTAAAAAATAACTGATACAGTTTTTTTGTTGATGTGCTTCTTTTCACTTGAGCGCTGATACAATTAACCTAGCCACTGGTAGGTCCTACTTCTTTACTTTCCCTCTGTTGTTTCCGTCTGTCTGTCTTACTTTTTCCCAGCACTACATGACCATTGCGGGTGGGTGGCGGGTGCTCTGGTGTGGTTTGCTCCTTCTTTCCTATCAAACATCTGTCATCCTTATCTCTCCTCCTTCTTTGGTGTTTGTTACTCTCTTACACTTCTAATCTTCGGCGCCTCATATGACCTTTTTGTGTTGCAAGTGCTGTAAAACTCTTACTAAAACTAAAAATGTACTTTTCCCCCACACTAAATAACTTACTGTTTATTGTGTTGGTACGCTTCTTTTCACTAAACCATTCAACCTAGGTGTGGTTGGGTGTGGAACGCCACTGGTTGGTCCCTCTTCCTTTCTTTCCCTCTGTTCTTTTCATCTATCCGTCTAAGTCTTACGTTTTCCCTGCACTCAATAACCGTCGGTGGCTGGTGGATGCACTGGTGTTGTTTGCTCCTTCTTTCCTATCCAACATCTATCGTCCTTTTATCTCTCCTCGTTTTTTGTGTATGCTACTCTCTTGTAAAACATTTATTCTTCGGGACTTATATGGCCTTATCGTGTTGCAAGTGCCGTAAAACTCTCACGAAAGCTAAAGCACCCAGCAACTGTTGGCTTATTTCTGCTGTAAACTGACAAAACGCCTTTTTTTCATTTTGGTGTCAAAAACTTTGTTTTGCTAAATCGAAAAAGCCAGATTAGTTACTCTACTTGTGTGAAAAAATCAACAAAGTGAAACTGTGACTAGTTTTTTAAAAATAAATTAGAAATTAAATTTCAGAAGCACTCTATTTCTCGAAACTGCTGTGAATTTTTAAAAAAGGCGTTTCGTCAGATTACGGAAGATCTGTGTTGAAGTGCTTCTTTTCACTTGAACACTCAAACAATCAACCTAGGTATGAGTGATGCAGGGTGCCTCAGGTAGTTCCTTCTTTTTCTTTTCTTTCACTCTGTTATTTCTTGTGACAAGCACCTGATTCTTAAAGCTTTTTCATTTGTCTTTCTTTTGATGAAAAAAATATCCATTTATTTCACATACAAGTCGAGATATTTGCGATTCAAGGAGGTGGGGGTCGCCAGGTCTCAGAGGCAAAATTAGCGAGAAAATGATCGTCAAAGTTTAGTTTTTTCCTTACGTTGAGAGTCCATGGAAGCAGAAAATTTACATTTTGTATGCATTTAATTAATTGACCTTTTTTTTCAGAACCGTCCACACAGAAATGTGTTGTTTAATGGACATGGAAGGTGATAGCCAAAAAACGAAAATTTGATCAAAATTCCCAAACCTACGCAAAAATACTAGTTTCTTCACTTTCATTATTTTGACAAGCGCCTGATTTCACCACGCTGCTTCACATATGGACAAATTTCTTCCCCCCCTTCTCTTCAGCTCCTCCAAGTGATGCACCTGTGTGAGAGGGGTGCACCAGCTGTGGTGCACTGCAGTGCGGGCATCGGACGCACCGGTGCTCTCATCGCCATAGACGTGGCGCTCACAGCTATAGGGCTAGGTCTGCAGGTAGGTACTCACTGGTCTTCAGTTTCTCTTAACCCTATCCGTACGTCGTGTTGTACTATCGTATCTGTACGACGTGGGGAACTCTGTGCCACCACTTTTCAAAGAGGAAATTTAATCTGATGTTAATCCGATTCGTACGCTTTGCATAGCGGTCTGTCGAAATGATTTTTTGAAAATTACTGAAAGTTTCAAAGAGATCTTCGTATTAGAAGTATTCTAAAATGTGAAGAATACAACCCGGAGGGGCGTGTACAAAATGACCTCAAGGCTTACGAATAGGGTTAATTCTTACTGTGAGACGCACCAGTTCAGTTGGCTTATAGCGTCACGCGATTGATTGCGCTCATAACAAATATTTACAAAACTTCAGCAAAATTATTTAATGTATAATTTAAACTGTGTGCTTACTGTTTAGACGAGTCGATTCATCTCAGTTTTTGGTGGGGGTTTTTAAGTTAAATTGTGAGCGGAGCAATAAGGAAATTTGTGATGCCCACAGAGTGGACACTTTAGAAGTGATTATTATTATTATTATTATTATTATTATTATTATTACTATTCCTTTATTATCACCATTTGTTTGTGTCAGTTTTCCCAGCAATAAGAAGCGACCATCACTGTGTCTGTGTGTTTTTCTTTTAATAAAAGCTCACCATACAAAGCTAATTTGACACATATCCGTCCATTCACAGAATGAGGTTTGACTTTTATTTCGGTATATGGTTTTTACTTGCAGTTTGACATGTACAAAATTGTGAAAGACCTGCGGAGACAACGTCATGGAATGATTCAAACCACAGTAAGTCGGGGCAGAAAGTCTCAAGACTGTGCTGATCTCTTCTTTCTGTGTGTGTGTGTGCTGTCCTCATGAGCATGTGTCTATGTGCTGTGTGTGTGTGCTGTGCGCTAGTGTCAGTGTGTTGTGTGTGTGTACGTGTTGGTCTCTCGAGTTGCTGTCTGTGTAGGGGTACTGATTCTCTGTGCCCTTGTCTGTGTGCTGTGTGTGCTTGTTTGTGTGTGTGTGTGTGCATGTTCTGGTCTCTCGATTCGATGTCTGTGTACGCGTACTGATTCTCTGTACCCTTGTGCTGTGTGTGCGTGTTTGTGTGTGTGTGTGTGCATGTTCTGGTCTCTCGATTCGGTGTCTGTGTACGCGTACTGATTCTCTGTACCCTTGTGCTGTGGTCGTATGTGTGTGTGAAAGAGAGAGAGTGTGTGTGTGTGTGTGTGTTCATGTGCTTGTCTCTCGAGTCGGTGTCTGTACTGGTACTGATTCTCTGTGCCCTAGTCTCATGAGCAGGTGTTGAGTGCTGGTCACCTTGAAAATTTTCCAAAAATATATAAGTAGGTTCTAGATTTTGCCGTAAAATTACTCTGGGTTATCTTGTCCTTTCCCTTTGTGATTTCCCCGTCTACCCATGTCATTTTCATGTGTCATTTCCATGTGCTTACTATATTGTCATTTACCTTTGTTCACCATCAGTTTCTCCATTCCCTGTGTTCACTTTGTCGTGTCAGCTGCCTCTGTAACTTTACTCCATGCAGTTTCTGTGGGTTTTACTCATGCTGTTCTTTATGTTCACCATGTCACTTCCCTCTGCTCACAGTGTCAAAAGTGGGTGGTTGACGGGTGCTCTGGTGTGGTTTGCTTCTTCTTTGCTATCAAACATCTATCATCCTTATCTCTCCTCCTTCTTTGTTGTGTTTGTTACTCTTTTGTAACACCTCTAATCTTCGGCACTTATATGACCTTATTGTGTTGCAAGTGCTGTAAAGCACATACCAAAACTTTTTTTTAAAAACCCTTACTGAAACAAACAAACTCTGACTAAAAATGAAATCAAAAAGACAATGTTCCTATTTGTTCACAGGACCAGTATCTGTTCTGCTACACTGCCTGCATGGAGGCCCTTCTCAGTCTGGACTCAGATGTCAAATGAGGAACATGTGGACACAGTCACCGCTCAAAGCTCGCCACACTCACTCACACACTTGTGACATACACACTCACACACACATTCCCACACATACACACACACACACACACTCACGCACACACACACACTGAAACAAACTTTCACACCTTATACACTCCCAGGCACGTGCGCACACTGACAAAGGCTTATACACATAACTGCCGTAAGCTGACAAAACGCCTTTTAAAAAAAATTCACAGCAATTTCTTCGAGATACAGACGCTTTTTGTCAGTGTAACCATTTTAAAAAGGCGTTCTTCCTAAATTTGAATTCTAATTTATTCAAAAACTGGTCGCCGTTCCACTTTGATTTTTTCACACAAGTAGAATTACTTGTAACTGATCAGGCTTTGGATTTAGCAAATATATTAAAAATTTGGTGCCTAAAATGAAAAAAGGCTTTTTACCAGCTTACGGCAGATATGGACTCGCCACCGACACGTATAGTATAGGTGCACGGAGTTAATGACTGACGAGCGGAGGCAGTGACTGGTGAACGTGAGGTGGAACGTCTAGCCCAGATCAAAAGTAAATGTCAAAACTTTCAAGCCTGTCGGAGCAACGGCAGGAATGGATCTGGGAAGTCCAGGGGTTTTTTGTTTTTTTTCGTGTTTCGATTGTCAGGGTTATTGGTGGAGGCTTGTGTGTTGTCTCCGCAGTGTTTACAGGCATGTGACGTTGTCGCGACGGTTGCGTTTCGAGTTTTCTCGGCCTTGTATGTTTCGTAATCCTCTCTGTGCAATACTGGACTTGCTGTGACTCCCGTGTAAATCTACTGTGACTGTGACCTCTGTCTGGTCTAACTGACCAGTGACTCCCCCCCCCCCCCCCCCCCCCCCCCCCATGACCCTGTCTGGATCTTCAATGACCGCCATTATATGGATTTGCACAGTGACCTGTGACCCCCATTTGGACGAACTGTGGCCTGCGACCCCCATCTAGACTTACTGTGACCCTCTCTGGATCTTCTAGGATCCGCATATGGATTTACAATGTGACCTGTGTCCCATCGTCTGGGCTTACTGTGACCTGTAACCCATGACTCCCATGTCGACTTACTGTGACCTGTGACCCCCATCTAGACTTACTGTGACATGTGACCCTTGTCTGGACTTACTGTGACCTGTGACCCCCATCTGGACTTACTGTGACCTGTGACCCCCATATGGACTTACTGTGACCTGTGACCCCTGTCTGGACTTACTGTGACCTGTGACCTCTGTCTGGACTTACTGTGACCTGTGACCCTTGTCTGGACTCGTGACCCCAGGTCTTGACCCACTGTCCGAGACTTGCTGTGTTTGGATTCTTTTCATCAGAACTGCACACATGATGGATGATCTGATGTAACTTTTTTTCTCTCTCTCAATCTCAGTATACTGCTATATTTACTCTTCCCGTCTAGTGTGCCTTACAGTAAGGGTTACTATCTACGTGATATAATCTCTTTTAGATCTGTGATTTCGAGACGGCATTTATTATTTTACGCTGTGTATTATTTATCATTAAATACTCTCTTTTTTTTCTTTTTTTTTGGTGCAAAGTGTTGTGATAACCTGTCGTTGTGATTATTACAGACAGGAAAGATCTGTATTTGGAGTACCTGTTGTGACAACTTATAAAAGGTACTCTGAATTTGGGAATGGCATTCACTAATTTGTCAGAGTGAACTTTTGTTTAGTATTATTATTTGCATACGTTTCTCCAGGGAAACGAATTAATTGATAATTATTATTATTTTGTGAAATCCTTTTGGGTGCAGTATTTGAAGTGTATTAGTATTACATACATCTTGTAGAAATGTCTACAAATAGGTTTCAGTAATTGTGTTCAGATACAAAATGTTGGTATCAATCGTGCCTTATTTAGCCTGTGGAATAGGCAATTCGGGGATGTTTTAAATGGGACAGTTTTAGGCAATACAATATTGCCATACTTTTGTCATAAGGTTTAGCTTAATGGCTAATGCGTATTCAGTCACAGTATCAACGCAACATGTGTTTTATATATATAAAGTCTTCCAGTCTTCACTTTACAAACTCTCTTCTTACTAAGGCATTCTGTTTCCTTCTGGAAGCCTGATTTACAATTATTATTGTAGGCGGAGAGTTTGTGTACAATCAGATAGAGTTATATATACCTGCATGTTTCTACTCTTGATACAGCTTTATTATTATCAAGTCCCCCAATAATGGTATATATTAATATATATATATATAATATATATATTTGAAGACATGTACTACTTTAGTTGGAGAGTTTGCTGTACTATTTGATCAAGTCATATACCTGCACGTTTCTACTCTTGATAGAACTTTATTATCAAGTCCCCAGTTACGGTATATGAAGACACATGTCTTGTATCATGTAATGACCTACCAAGTGAGCATGTATTATCACATTCCCACATTCTGCGTGCATCAATAAAAGACATCTTCACCTTAGAGCTGATGTTTTCTCTTGGTGCCCATGCATGCTGCGGTTGTCAGATTAGCTGAAAATGAATAAACGCATCTCTTTTACTCAATGTGAATTCCATTGGTTTTATTTCTGTAGACGATTCTCTTTTTTTTCTGTTTGTTTTTTGGTCCTAGAAGTGGAGAAGTTCTGTTGTGTTCATTGTTGTTTCTGTGTCTACATGTACAAGCTACAAGTTAGTTTTGCTGTCTTATCAAAATCAACTGGCAAAACAATAGACATTGTCATAGATGGAGAAGGGGGCTCTCGTGGCCTAGAGGTTAAGGTGTTGGCCTCTCATTCAAAGGTCCCGGGTTCGAATCCGGGTAGCGACCAAAAAATTTTCTTCTCTAAAATTGTCTCCTTTCACCTCCTTTCCTGCTCTCTAGCAATGTTCTGTTGTCTGCTTTCATTTCCACTTTCTGTCCCCACCCCCTCACCTCCTTTGCCCCCTCCTCTGGGCTCCTGACTCTTTCTGCAGCATTTCTACTGCTACTCCTTGGCTCCTCCTTACTGCTGTCTTTCTGCCATACCCCTGATCTTCTGGTAGGAAAGATCTACACCTAGCCTTCTCGGACAAGGGCGAAAAATCTCGGAGGGCCCGTGTGCAAGTTGCGCACGTTAAAGATCCCTTGGTGGTCTAAAATCGATAAGAGTAGGCTTCGGCCGCCACCCGGGCAAAATTCAAAATTTCCTACCAACTGAAAATATTAGGTGTGTCCCGCGCGCTCATATGACCTATGCAGTTGCGAGCGCCGTAAAACACTTTACAAAAACAAAAAAAAATAGATGGAGAGAGAATTGAATTTGTACTTCAGTTCGAATAAGTTATCTAGAGGCAACAAGAAGTACAGAATAACACAGGTAGCTGGAATCTGTCGGGACTGGCCTCAGTAGTTCGACGCATCTGTATTTCGAGGGATATCTTACAAAGATGAAGAAAAAAAAACCCCGGGACAGCAGGCACAGTTCGATGGATGCGTGATTTCGAGTCTTCTGTTTTCGGCCTGTTATACTGTATATATATATATAACTATATATATAACTATATATATATATATATATAACTGTATATATATAATATGTAAGTATAAGAACAGCTCAGCTCAATTCAGAACTTTTTGACTGAAATTGAAGCTCCAAGTACATGTACTTGTATCCAGGAATTGCCCCAAAATACATTAAAAAATACAATCAAACTCGGATATAACAGGACAAATGGGAACGGCAGTTTTTCTCTGTTATAAGCGAGTCATGTTATAACCCATTGTCATGGGAAACTACTAGTACCATCGTACCTTCAGCTTCCTATGTATATTTGATTACCGCAGATCCTTTTCTAGTGGGATGTTTCGCTGACACTGAGACGGAATCGACCAGTGACCACATCACAATGGTGGGGGGGGGGGATGTGTTTCAAAGTTTGTGTTTAGGCAAGCGATCATACAAATAGGCGAAATGTCTTGGTTGAGACCAATTTTAATAATTTGGCGGATCGAAAGCAAGTTCATGCGCTGCATTCAAGTCTACGCAAATTGAACCCTGTTATAGCCAGGTTCATATTACTTGCACTAACAGAGAAAAAAACGGGGATTTGATTTATCACTGTTATATCAATGCAATGTACAGCAACGCTTTCAAAAGAGGCAAAACCATCACGTGCTGCACGGAAATCCTCCGCGAACTTTTGCCAAATTTGCTGTTTTTTGACACCACGGACATTCCTCAGTCAAAATTTATGGCGCACATCATAAACGAACATACGGTTTCGAACTGTGCTCACTTTGGGTGCAATATAAACCGCCGTTTGCGCAAAATCCAGTATCGCATCAACATGCCACCGAGACGAAAGCTGAGACGCTTTGATCGTGCCAGAGCTATGGCAAGGCTGCAGAATGGAGTTGGAGCCTGAGAAGTTACCAGAAGGCTTGCAGTGTCACTCTCCATCATTGTCAGCCTGAGGCAGCGCCATCAAGCCACAGGATCAGTCGAAGAACACCCACGTACAGGTCGACCCAAGAAGACCACTCGGAGTGTTTGCAAGTGGTCCTTAACTTATGTAGAAGTCTGTGTATGTGAGAATTGGACACTCGTCTAAATAATGAAATTGAAGAAACCAGCATTTTCCCGCCGTTTTGGCAATTTCTATCGATTTATTTTTTTGGACTCAACAGCTTTCATGCTCATTTTCTGCGTGGATTTTACTGTAAAACATTGATTCAAGTTCAAGGTTTAAATAAAAGTAAATGTTCAGTTTCCAAGGACTCTCAAGCTATGGAAGTCGCCAAACATTAGCGACCATTTTCTCACCACTTTTACTTCTGACACTAGGCAACCCCCACCTCCATCAACGGCAAATATCTCGACTTCTACTTCTATTCAAGATACATTTTTAAAAAATAGAACATGTAGAGGGTTTTACGGCGCTCGCAACTGCATAAGGTCATATGAGCGCCAAGGGGTGGATGCCAACAGAGAAGTCCTTACAGGGAATCAGACTTACTCTGCTCACCTCTCTAGCTTCAGCAGCACAGAGTCTACTTCGACTATCAAGGCACCCCGGAGATAGCGGCACTTGGGAACTTTGAGATAGGCAGCCCTGAATAAGGGAAATCTCTGTAGTTAGCAAATTCAATGTTGAACACACTGGTTTTTTAATTTTTAAAAATATCTCGGGTACTTTTAGAGATATGTCACATTTTGCAACACTGGATGTAAAAACAAAGGAGAAAAACC